GATGATCCGGATGGCCCTGCAAATTCTTCTGAAAATTCTACTCAACGGACCCTGACCGTCGAAGAAAAGGATGCGATATTCCTCAAGGTATTTTCCTTGATAACCATATGATTGAATATCTTTTTCTCTCTAGTATTGGTTTATGTATATGCTTATAAAGTGTTATCTGAATTTTGCATTCTTCTGGTTTGGTTTCTTATCAATTGTTTTGCATTCTTCTGTTTTGGTTTATTGATATGCTTGAGTAATTCTTTTGTTTCTCNTCAACANTTTTGCATTCTTCTNTTTTGGTTTATGAATTGCTGAGTTGCCTTATCTGAATTAGGTATTTGTGTTCAGTTGTGATCTTCTTGTTGTCAATCTTCTTGCTGTTGGTTAAGAGTCACTCTCTAATAATTCATACTCGTTTTAGAGTACCAAATCAGTATGTCTGTGGTTTAGAATCAATAGGATAGATGCACTTGGTTGTTTTGCACAATTATGAACTATATAATTTCATGTCACTGCCTACATTTTCTGGACTAACTTACTCTGGTTTTTGGTTATTTAGTGTACTCACACTGATTCCAAGGGGAACCCATTCGGACTTGGGGCACTAACTGAGATGGTCTGCAAAGGGAAAAGGAAAGAGAGCTATGCAAGCTCTCCTGCAGACTCTCTTTCGGAAATCCATGAACAACTTGAAGCATCTCGGCTTAAAATTCTTGCACAGGAAGAGAGCATTGCTCGACGTGATGAGGAGATTCGCCGCGATCAAACTCGACGTGATGAGGAGATTCGCCGCGATCAAGCTCGACGTGATGAGGAGCATCGACGTGATCAAGCTCGTATCTCTGAGATGGAGAGGCTCATTACATTCTTGAAGAGCTCCGATCCCCGCATCGCAGCATTCATGGGTCAACAACCAGACAACACTACAACCACCGAACCAGTCACTTCACCAACCACTGCACAACCTGCTGGACCAGTCACCACACCCGAGCAGCATGTAGGATGATTAATGTAGTGCTTTTCAAACTCTCTTTTCTGCAAAAGTCTACTTTTTTTTATACTATACTTATGTTTCGGTTTCAAGTACATGTACTTTCTTTTGTACTTTTGTGTTTTGATAACTATTTGAAGGTATTTTGTTATTCTTCTTAAACTTTTTCGTTTTCAATTCTAAAACAGCAATACA